ACGCGTATGTTTTTTACCATTCTGTACATGTATTCTCCGTTATGACGTCTCTCTGGAGAGGGTTCAATCTCCGGGGTGTTGTCATAAAATCTAAAGAACAATTTGCTGTGGTACTTGTGACTTGTCTTTAAGAAACGTCAGTTCCTTAGGTAAACTATCTTCTTGGATGTATCCAGGTACACCCATGTAGTACCATTCAAGCAAACCAAGCATCCTGTTTTCCCTTTGATCTGTCCAGACAAAGCAAACAGCACGGGGTAATCATTGGTTGTAACAAATATTATTGCTCTACATATGAAGTCCTCCTTTCGGAATGCATCGTACATCGGCTCCCCATGCCTCCATAGACTCTCTATTTCTTGCATCAAAGGTTCGAGGAACACGTCTATATCAATGCCTGATTGTTTAGGGTCAGAAATAAGAATAGTGAGGAGAAGGTACTTTCTCTTCTGACACAACCACGTTAGGATGTTGTACATGGTCAAGATCACTGGCAAAGTGATGTGGTCTCTCATCCTCTCATTGAAGGGATTCATTCCATCGGTGCTCAAGCCAAACCGTACATTACTTAAGTCATCGTTGAATTCTTTGTGCTTCTTACAAAACATTTGCCACTGACTACAATTAGCCGGGTGTGCAATCTTATCATCATCCACCTTGCGCTCATCATCCCGCCATGTCATGAGTGCGGCTTCTTTAGGGTTTAGAAAGATACGTCTCAAGCGGTCGGTCACTGGTAGATACCACATTACCAAGGCAAGAATTCTTCTCTACTTTGCATCGTTGCCTAATGGAGTGTACTCTGGGGGCTGAGATTCAGGTACCACATTTTTTTACCCTTCTTATTCCTCTTTTTCCCCGTGGAGGCTTCATCCCCACCGTAAAGGTCATTGTTCTTGTACCGGCTGGCCCCACACCGAGGACATTTATCCAGTGACTTGAACGTTTCGCCACGAAAAAGTATACAGTGGTTGGGGCATGCATGGATTTTTACCCCCATTGTTAGTGGACTTATGACCTTCTTCGCTTGGTATGTGTTGGCGGGAACTGAGTTTAGTTGTGGCAGCACCCATGACAGGAGACGCAATAGATCATTGAAACTACAGTGTGACCAGCCGTATTTAGCCTTCAGGATGAGTAGCTCAAGCACAAAATGTAGCAATGTCCAATATGTCGGACAGCCCTTTTCAACACCATACAGTCTTCTTCGATGTTTTTGTCACCCTTTATAAATTTTCTAGACCTTTTGGGCTCTTTAGTAAAATCTCTGGTCCAAGGGCTCGAATTATGTCCTCAAATCATCTTTATCCCCGACACGTGCTCCACCATCATTATTGGCATCACCTTCGTCGTTATCATCCCAACCACCAGCATCACCAACTTGTTCATTGCCAAATTCGAGATCCATTCGTGCATCAAGCTCTGCTGAATATTGAGACAGGGATTCTAGGGTTTCATCGTCGTATTCCTCTTCATCCTCGTCGTTAACAATAACCGTTTCACCATGATGAATCCACACTGTGTAGTCCTCAATAAATCCTCGCATAATCAAATATGATATAATGATAGTCACATCTATCCATGCCAAATGGTTCTTGCAATCTTTACAGGGACAAATAATTGTATCCTTATTCTCTGTCAATGCCGTTGCTTGCTTCTTTACGGCTTCAATAAATTTATCCATCTCTTCACGGAAACCTACTTTAAACCTTAACGAACCATACATCCAAGAGTTCATATACTCCATCTTTTACAACAACAACAAAACAAACATTGTATATACTTCAGATATATATGAATATAAATCAAATATAATTACATAAAGCATACAAACATATCATGGTAGAGAAAAATTAATTAATAGCCCATTTATCCATAAATAATTAAAATACATATTTGTTGATTACAATAAACAAATTCAAAGACAAAAATTAGCAACAATTATATTTTACCCAAGATCTTTCATGCAAACCCTAGTCAATTCCATCAAACATAAATTTATAAAAACAAAATTAATAAAAAAATCAAACCCTAAATCTAGATCTACATGTACATGAAATACCCATAAAACTAACTAACTGTTCACTAAAATCAAGAAACATGGACCAAATAAGGATATGATCTTGTTCCCCTGCCTAATTTATCTAAGTACATTCAAAACTTGGGTCTAATTTATTTCATAAGTAGCTCAAGCACCATAGAAGAGAGATAAAAGCAAAACTCTAATTACTCACTGACCAACCATTAAAACTTCAAAAAAAAAGTGTGGAATAGCATTTTCTAACCTTCTACAACCTCTCCACCAAAGAATTTGAGACTAAAATATTTCTTCTTAGTAGAGCAATTTTTAGGAGGTGCCCAATGCCTCCCCACCTTTTTTTTCACGAGTTGAAGTGAGTGGCCCGAGGAGAAAGAAAGTGTTGCAGTTTGTTTTATATGTGCGTCATTTGTAGGGGCGACTTGTAATTGAGCCGCCCCTACAAATCGGAGGTATTTATACACGGGCATTTGTGGGGGCGGCTCAATCACTAGCCGCCCCAACAAATAGCAACACCGGGGGCGGCTGGTGAGTGAACCACCGCTACAAATCCGATCTATTTGTAGAGGCGGCTCGTATCACCAGCCGCCCCCGCTGTTCTATTTGTAGGGGCGGCTGGTCTCGTGGCTCCCGAGCACGCCACCGAGCTCCGCCCCTACAAAAAATTTATTCCGTTGCTATAAACCGTTTTTCATGTAGTGTGATCGAGGCGCGCGAGGATGAGCGCAGCCCGGTCGGCATCCGCGCGCGTGGCCACATCCTCCGCGCCGACGAAGACGACGCATGGGAGGCGGCCCCTGGGCACCGCGTGGCCACATCCTCTGCTGCAGCCTGCTACTACTTTTTCTCCATCTCACGCCGGAGGCAGCAAAGAGCCGGCAAAGTTCTGGCCAGCCAAACCCAGCAACTGCAAGTGCGTGTACTTCAAACTTCTGTACTGTTCTTCGAAATCGCGGCAAGCACGTCACCGCGGACGCCGTCCAGTACTGCTCGCCGGCCTGCAGCAGCAGCTAGTGCCCGCCGCCTGGAACGCGCTCCAGCAGGGTCGATAAAAGGGACCCCTCCGCCGCGGCCTGGGGCTCGCTCCGCGAGTTCATGCAGCACAGGTACACGTCCGGGTTGCACGAACAAATGGAGGAGCAAAGGATCCGATGAATGATAGTTCATATTTTTATTTGGACTCCAGCGAAGAAAAAATGCATTGTGAAGTTTTTTCTATGACACAGTCCAGGTTATAGAAATCACTTAGTTTCTGTCCCGACGCCTTGAAGTTGGTTTCGGTTCTAGCGCTCCACGGTCCGTTTTTTCTTCCGGAAATGAGAAGGGCAGCTCCAATAGCAATTCAAACAACAAGCTCGTAGTATGTATTTTGCCATGCTACAGTAGGACATGAAACAATGGGTTTCGTTATTATAGGACGTGAAATAATAGGCTTCGTTATTATAAGACTTCAATCGTCGATTTCGCTAAAACGACATTTAAAACGTTGGCACTTTGTTTTACATAACATTTGGTCTTTTTAATCACTTTTCTTATTTCAAATACATGTATTTTATCATGGGACAACCGTATTGCCCTTCAGTCATATTCACGTAAGAGTGGACAGGCAGGTGCGTGGGCTGCCTGGCTGCTGCCGCCGCCGCCGCCTGGCCTGGCTGGCAGGCAGACTTGCCGCCGCCGCCGCCTGGGCAGGCTGGCTGGCACGCTTGCCGCCGCCGTCGGAGTATGTCACACATTATTAAAATTCACAAAAATACAGTAAAAATTCCCAGAAAATTAGAGTAAAATTCTGGACATATAACATAATATTAAGTACACATGAATTCATCTCACATCACAATATTGTTCCAAACAAGATTCAAGTTATATCAAATAAATCATGAGTTTACATCCCATCACAGTTAAAATAATTCATCCAATGTGTAGCTTTCTCTTCGGAGTCATCTTTTTTTGTGCTGCCGCTGTAGGTATCCTCACGGGACAAGTGTTGTCGGTTTGTGAAGATGTGCCCTCTCCTAATAACATTGCAAGCTTGCTGCACATAAATACGATACCACAATTAGATGTATGGAAAGAATTAGTGTACAGTAAATGTGTTAATATTCCAAACCTTCTTGTGACCACCGTGTACAATGATGAAGGAGGTGCAGTCTGTCTTGATATAAGCATGAACCTATCAAACATGAGGATGCCAACATCTTAAAATGGCATGATTAAAAGTCAAGACAGACTACTGACCAATTTGATCAAACTGAAATTTTCTGAATGTATCAAGCCGAAACATCACTGAAAATTTCTGAATGCATAGGGAAGTGCATATAAACGATATGGCGTTAAGGTATACTGTATGTATTATGGACAACACAGTTTCTATACTTGCTGTTCGGTACAAAGGTACAGTTATCTTAATGTTGGCTTGACCCAAGAGAAAATGATCAAGAGTGAGTGAGAGGAAGATAGGCAAGAGTAGACACCCTCTGAGAAGTCCAGTTGAGTCATCAGTTGTATTCATGGCTTCCCAAAGAAGTTGCAATGGAACCCAATGTGGAGGATATTTGAAACGGGCGACATCCAAGATGAGCGCCATATCCTGTCCGGCATGGTAGCCACCGATTGGGGAGAAATGCCCAGTTCCAGTCTGCATCATCGCAAAAGGCGTGCATCAGTCTACACAGAGACAGTAGTTATCAAGTTATGCGCAATGGAGGATGACGAACTCATCAATCCAATCTAACCAAATGGGTACATGAAGATAGTAGTTATATGCAATGGAGGATGATGAACTAACCAATCCAATCTAACCAAATGGGTACATGAAGATAGTAGTTATATGCAATGGAGGATGACGAACTAACCAATCCAATCTAACCGAATGCGTACATGAAGATTAATTGGTGGTAGTACTGTAGTGCAAGTGATCAGGAGAGCGTGACTAGGGGAATTCGCCAGGGGAATGTGATATTTAGGGGGCCGTAACCTGTTGGAAAGCCTTCCTGTGGTAGGAAGCAATAAGATGGCAGTCCTGGGAGGAGACGCATCGGATGAGATGCCGCCGTAGGTCGTGGATGGTGACCCGGTTAGCGCGGAAGGATTGGACGTCGGCGCCGGAGCAGTGCGCGAGGCAGGCGACCTTGCCGAAGGTGATGCCCTGGGCCTTGACCTTGTCGAGGGGCTCGCAGCGGTCGAGCATGGACTCGTCGAACCACCGCCAGGGACCCTTCCAGCGGCGGCCCGGGTCGATGGCGAGCGCGTTGAGGACGACTGCGAGGGAGGCGAGGCCGCAGAAGGCCGGCTCCGACTGCGTCTGGAAGACGGAGACCAGGGGGAAGAAGCCCTCCATGGTGCCCGCCGCCAGGGCCTCGGCGAAGAGGCGCTTACCCTCCGGCGAAGCGAAGTCCACCGCCGGCGGCGACGGGAGGACCCGCCTGTACAGCGACGCCACGGTCGCCGCCATCCTGGTCCCCTGGACTGCTCGCTGCCTCGACTGCGCTGGTGGATTTCGCGGTGCTGATCTGATTCCTCCGCGTGAACACAGCGGCGATCGAGCCTGAGTCCTTTTAATCACTCTTCCCATTTCAAATACATCTATTTTACTAGAAAATGACCATATTACTCTTCAGTCATATTTACTTAAGAGTGGACAGGCAGGTGCGTGGGCTGCCTGGCTGCTGCCACCATCGCCTAGCCTGGGCAGGCTGGCTGGCTGCTGCCAGCCGGCTGGCACGCTTGCCGCCGCCGCCGTCGCTTGGGCAGGCTGGCTAGCACGCTTACCGCCGCCGCCAGTAGGTCACACATTATTAAAATTCATAAAAGTACAGTAAAGATTTCTAGAAAATTAGAGTAAAATTCTGGGCATATAACACAATATTAAGTACACATGAATTCATCTCACATCATAATATTGTTCCAAACAAGATTCCCAAATCATATCAAATAAATCATGAGTTTACATCTCATCACAGCTAAAATAATTTATCTAATGTGTAGCTTTCTCTTCGAAGTCGTTTTTTGTGCTGCCGCTGTAAGTATCCTCACGGGACAAGTGTTGTCGGTTTGTGAAGATGTGCCCTCTCCTAATAACATCGCAAGCTTGCTGTACATAAATACGATACCACAATTAGATGTATAGAAAGAATTGGTGTACGGTAAATGTGTTAATATTCCTTATCTTCTTGTGACCTTTCCTGCACTATCCCGTATGATTTCTTCTCTAGTCGGCCTCCGTGGGGTGCTAGGTTCTGCTGACGCAGCTTTTGTAACATTCTTCCTAGGTTGCCTACGCTTCCTACAAGTAATCAAATAAATTAATATTGATATTTACATTCAAATTTTTAGATAAAGAAAATTAGTTCATACCTCTTTTTTGCGGTCCCATTAAGTGGGCACTTGGCACTAGCAGGCCTATGACCTTTTTCTCCGCATTTTTTGCAAGTCATAGGTCCTCTGATCATTTTCTTTCCCTTTCCATTTGTTGGAGCTGCATCGTTATCGCATCCCTTCTCACCTTCACCATCGTTGGTAAATTCATCATCTTTGGAACCTTTCTTCCTGTGTCCACTTTCCATCCATCCCTTCATTCTTAGTTTCCTTCGTCGTCCAACAGGTAGTTTAGCAAGAGGTGCACCAACTAAAAATGGTAGGTCAACTTGTGGCCATTGTGTTTTATCTATCATCGGCTCAATCTCTCTTCCATAAGCAGCCCTTAATCTATTGACCGAGTGGTAGTCATACACAAACTGTTCTAGGTCAACTCCCCGATGACGAGTTACATAGGCCAATACATGTTGACATGGCTTACCAGTGTGCTACCATTCAAGACAAGTACAGGTCCTTTGGTGTAACTTTATAATATGCCTCTAATAGCAAAGCTCATTCTTTCGTGCTATGGTCCCACACCTTTGCACTCCAATTAGAACATGGTACAATTTTCAAGTGTCCCAAACCTCTAGTATTTGCCTTTAAGTTGAACCATAATAGACTAGTCCATGGAAGTATCCTACGCCTTTATGTAGCCTTGTATGCAATATTTCTTCTCTTGTTCCACAAAGATACCATGATCATTTCTCCGATCTTATCGGCAGAAGGTCAGCAACCGCCAGGATGTAATTCTTTATGGTCTCTAATCCGGTTATTAAATGACTCAAAGAATATTATTAGTTAGTGTAGTCACACTTAATTTCTAGTGGACTGAAACCACACCTATACCATAATAACTTATGGTTGGTCTCAGAACCATTTCACTTTTGCTTGTCTTTGATTCACTTACCATTTTTGCTATATTGTCATAGAATATGTCCTCTCTGTAAGCCATTGCCGCAGGATATATCTGGCCAAACCCTCTAAATCTCTTCTTAAAATTTATGACAAGATGATAAAAACATTCTCTTTGCTCTGCATTTGGGAATACATTCTTCACTGCATTCTCCAAGCCCTTGCAAGCATCAGAACAAACAGCAAGCAGTGGAGGATCACCTATTGCCTTCTTTAATTGTTCCATGAACCAAGTCCAGTTGTCTGTGTTTTCAGAAGCTATGAAGCCATAAGCGAGTGGATACATCCAATTGTAGTTATCTGCCTCACGCTGGACACACACTCGTGCTTATCGACTAAGACGATTACATGCAAAACAAAAAATCAATGAGATTGATATTAATTTACATAACAAGTAGAATTAATGAAATAAAAAAATTATTCACCTCCACAGTGGCTTGGCCTTTTTGCTTAGTGCCATTTATCCTCCAAGGGCAAGGGCAATCTTCATCACCGGACTTGCAAAAATCCCTATATATCGTCTTACATGACTTCTCTACTCCTAAATCGAACTCCTTATTGATGGCAAATTACCGCACTGCCAACTTGAACTCCTCCATTGTTGGGTACAGTGTTCCTATCTCCATTAATGGGTTGTTCTTATCATATGAAATGACCATCTCACCTGGTACGGCATCACTAGTAGGAATGGCAGCACCATCAGTATCTTGCCCAATCTCATTATCATTCCCCTCTTCATCCATTCGGCAATCAAAGTCTTGTGCAGGTATATTTGTTGTGCCCTCCTCTGTCAAGCCTAAAAGCTCACAAATCTACGACTCACTCATAAGTGCAATACGACCTTCGTCATCATGTGTCTCCACTATTTGTATCGTATCCCAATCAACTCTTTTCATATTTTTCACATGATCTACTTGGGACCTAAACAGGTGAAATCAACTTTAACTAATATGTACTACCATCGTGGTAAAAACAAATGTTCTTCCTCCAAAAGCATACAAGCATATATACCTTTGCACTTCAAGAAGCTGGAAGGTTGCACTCTCCAAGAGGAGCAGCTTGAAGCAGCGATCTCGCTAGGGCTAGAGCAATGGACATGCCTTATCTTTGGCTCGTCCTGACACCTTTTGCTGGACTAACCATCCTTGCCGCGCCACGCCTTCTGCCGCCCGCACTTTTAATTGATGGCCATACCTAAAATTCTGAATGTTATTGAGAATTGATTCATAATGCCATGCCTGGCCATGCCCTCACCATTTTTCTGGCCGAGGGAAGAGGCGGCGGTCAAAGAAGAGATAATAAATAAATGCTTGGCCACACACCAGAGGGCGGCAGGCAAAATGGCATAGGGCCGCCAGGCGGGCTCGAAGGCACGCAGTATCTTACACTTGCCATCACCAAAAGGCAAGTTTCAAACACTTATCAAACGCTAAAGAGGGGAACATAAAGTACTTCTTTAAGAGGGCGGCTTTGCAAGGGCACAGTAAAGGCACCAAGTGGCTACAAATGTAATAGGCTAGGGAGAACGGAACGTAGTGCCACGCCGAGGGCGGCGGTAAGGGCAGAAGAAGTCTTAGGCGGTTTCCCTTCCGTTCGGTTCTTTTGGATCCGGTGAGGCGAGTTCGTCTCCTCCATGGGCGTAAAAGGTGTCATATTCGAGGAGGAGTTCATCTTCAAAATAGGCGGCGGCGGTCGATTAAACGTCGGAAGATGAAACCAAACATCGGGCTCATGCAAAAGGATACGTAAGGCCAGAAGGATAAAAGAGTTAATTAAGGAGCAAAATACATGTATTTTGATTACCAAAGTCAAGAAATACACCAAATGTCATCTAAAACAAAGTGACAACGTTTTAAGTGTCGTTTTAGCGAAGTCGATGATTGAAGTCATATAATAGCAAAGCCCATTCTTTCGTGTCCTATAATAGCAATTTTCTCACACTCAACTTGTTTGTGAAAATGTCCATAAGAAAAGAGAAGGTGAAGTTGGATGGTAACTCTACCCAATTTTATTCAAAGGTGAGCTCATCTGGTTGTGCAGGTAAACAAACACAATCTCTAGCTGGTTTGGTTGTGTAGAGAAATAGAAACAAACACCAGCAAGTTGCACCTCTTGAGCTTGCTCTTAGTGGGTCTGGCTCTACTCAGCCGACCAGGCGCAGCTAGTCCATGGGAAAAAAACACGCCCTACGTTTCTATCCTCTTCCTCCGGATCTGGTACTCCGAGTCCATGGCTACCGCGCGATGGAGGCAGCGGTCGGCGTCTGCAACCGCGCGGCGAGCACGGCGGCCACGCCGCCCGGGCCTCGCCGTCGCCATGGAGGAGGTGATCGAGGCGCGCGAGGATGAGCGCAACCCGGTCGGCGTCCGCGCGCGTGGCCACATCCTCCGCGCCGAGGAAGACGACGCATGGGAGGCGGCCGCTGGGCACCAGGGGCAAGGACGTCGGCCTCGTGCTCTCTAAGCCCGCCGCCTCTGCCAGGGCCCGCTCGGCGCTCGCAGAGAAGCAGCGCTACTCCAACTCGCGCAAGGCCATCTGCTGGTAGCTTGCTACTACTTTTTCTCCATCTCACGCCGGAGGCAGCAAAGAGCCGGCAAAGTTCTGGCCAGCCAAACCCAGCAACTGCAAGTTTGTGTACTTCAAACTTCTGTACTGTTCTTCCAAATCGCGGCAAGCACGTCACCGCGGACGCCGTCCAGTACTGCTCGCCGGCCTGCAGCAGCAGCTAGTGCCCGCCGCCTGGAACGCGCTCCAGCAGGGTCGATAAAGGGACCCCTCCGCCGCGGCCTGGGGCTCGCTCCGCGAGTTCATGCAGCACAGGTACACGTCCGGGTTGCACGAACAAATGGAGGAGCAAAGGATCCGATGAATGATAGTTCATATTTTTATTTGGACTCCAGCGAAGAAAAAAATGCATTGTGAAGTTTTTTCTATGACACAGAGTCCTAGGTTATAGAAATCACTTAGGGCCTGTTTAGTTCTCAAAAAGTTTTCCAAAAATGCTGCAGTAGTCATTATATCAAATCTTGCTATACGTGCATGAAGCATTAAATGTAGACGAAAAAAACTAATTGCATGGTTTAGTTGGAAATTGCGAGACCAATGTTTTGAGTCTAATTAGTCCATGATTGAACACTAATTGTCAAATAAAAACGAAAGTGATACAGTAGTGTTGGCTTCGGTTTTAGCGCTCCACGGTCCGTTTTTTCTTCCGGAAATGAGAAGGGCAGCTCCAATAGCAATTCAAACAACTAGCTCGTAGTATGTTTTATTCAATATAAGAAAGAGGGAAAACTGAAAATCAACCAGCTAAGCTCTCGATAAAGACATAAGCACACACACCTTTCAACAATCTATGTGTCTGTATTGCACGTTCTTCAATACTTGCATGACGGACTATTCTTTTTTTTAAAAGAAACCTTTATATAAGCTAGTGGTTAAAAAAAACCATTGGAGACGGCCTTACTGATCTCAGGGAAATAGGGGACAAATTAGTGATAATAGCATAGCATGCTATACGTCAGCAGTCTCATAGACTGTCTCGTGCAACTAGGATTTTGGATGATGTGAAATAGAGAGAAAGTCAAGCCGTTGTCTGGTGAAACAACGAGCTCATTTCCGTCATCTTCGCTGGATGAGACGACGTCCGATCCATTGTACGCCGAAGTCGTTGTTTCGCTGGATCCGCCGCGGCGCCGCGCCAAATCTCTTTGCTTGCGCCAAATTCTTCCTGCTCCTATTTCTGGCGCCAAATTCTTCGTCCATGGTGCCAATGCACTTCCTTTTCTTCGTATCTAATTCATCTGCAGACTTCAACTTTCTCTTCCTAATTTCTCTGCTCCCAAAACTCAGCCATCCCTCTCCGACGGCGCTGCCCACGGCGACCACACGCAGCAGTAGAGCATATGGCGCCCATGCGCACTGCCAAAAATGGTGGCCGTCCCCGGCGCCCGAACCTGCCGCACCTCACCCCGTTGGCCCAGGCTACGAGCATGCCCCTTGAACTTCCGTCGCCGTCACCGGCAGCGGCAGCGGCACCGGCGACAGCCACGACCCCAGCAGCGCAAGCCACTCCTGGTTCATTCGACACTTACTCGACATGGCTACCGATGCTGTCCAACTATTCTGCCCCCATGGTCCAAAACTTAGATCTGAGTGCCTCGAGCTGTTCGATGCAAGAGGAAAGGTGATTTGAATCTGTACTGATTGGAATAGGAGGGAGTAATTTGGATTCATTTTGAGCGATTAGCCTTTGGAATCTGTACTGATTGGAATCGGAGGGAGTAATTTGGATGCATAGAATGAACAGATTGCTTAATTCTTTTTGGTGAGGGTTTAGACTGCTTATTTAGGACCATTATTATAGTTGTTTGCTTTCCCAGTTTGCTTACTAATTTATAGGGATATCATATTGCAAGATTTTAGTGTCAACTGATACTGACATCTAATACATGGTAGTCCTGTGTCTTTCCTTGCTACAAGAAACTGAAAATCAGTTTCCAGATATTTGCTATGCTATGACTACTTGCACTTTAAGTTTTTTTGGGTAGCATAAATGCATAACATATTCATTATTTTTCTCCAGTGATATGGGTTCGTACCCACCTGGTGGTTTTCTAAATTTCATGCAACGTTCTTCAAACTACTCACTTCAAGAGAATCGTCACCGGGAACCCATGTCGGGTAATTTTGTTAACGCGAGTAGCCGTGCTCAATATGCTCCATTTGAGGCACAACAACCACAGATGGCTAAAGCAAAGTCATCTCATTCATTGCCTGAACAAAACACACCACATTCAGCACTTGGTTCCCAGGCTGCCGCTACTCATATAGTGGACATTGATAACATTGATGGTAATGGAGGCAGTCCAAGCATGTTCACAAAAAAAGACACCGGAGGAAGTAGGCCTGCAAAGAGGGTGATATGGACACCTAATGAAACCATGAGACTGGTAAAATCCCTGTATACTCTCTACATACGTACCCATCTTTTGTATAATGTTTGTGCATCTTACAACCATCTATGTTGACATGTAGGTTAGTGCTTGGTTGAAAAACTCAAACGATACGGTTAAAGGAAACTGGAAGAGAAATGATCAATATTGGGGATCAGTAACTGCCATGTTCAACAGCACGACTCCAGGTGATAGAACCAGAGAAATTAAGCAACTGAAGGAACAATGGCATCGTGTGAACAAAAGTGTGAATTACTTTCAAGGCTGTTGGATAAAAGCAGAGCGACTTCATGGCAGTGGGGAGTCTGATGAGCAGGTAACGGACAATGCCGAGGCTTTCTATGAGGAAGAGTCTGATGATGGTGAGTTTAAACTTGAAGCTTGTTGGAAGGTTCTTCGAGATCGACCAAAGTGGCATGCATACAATGAGGACCTTAATGGATCTCACAAAAGAAAGTATTCTGAGGCAGAAGCTGTTGACCTGACAGCCTCTGCTGATGCGGTCACTGATCTGCAGCGTCCAATTGGTTGTAAGAAAGCTAAGGAGGAACTCAACAGGAAGGGAAAGGGGAAGGTTTCTTCATCAATTATGGATGAGATTGACAAACTAATAGAAGGTCAACAGAAATCTAAGGAAGATCGCATGGAGATACTGGACAGACACCAACAAATTGCCGCTGACAAGAAGGAATCAGCAAGGCTGACCCACCTTGTAGCCCAAGAGAATAAAGAGGCAAAACTACTTGAAAAAGAAGGAAAAAAGCATGATAAGGAATCCAAATTGCTGGAGACATATAAAGCCCTTCTGATCATTGACACAATTCAGATGCATGAGGACATGAGAACTGAGCATATGTTAGCTCTTAAGGGTATGAGGGAGATGATTTTTCCCCACCGTGCTTCTGGACAGTAGGAGGTATGTGTTCCAGATTTTTATTGTCAGATATACTTGCCAATTTTTAGGTTTTTCAGATTATTAATAACGTACAAAAGTGCCACTATTTTCAGGTTATTTGAGATCGTTGGTCCAGCATTGCTAGTACCTTGGAGGCCTTGTTTACTTCAGTTTTTTAATGTCTTGATAGGATATTTGAGAACGTTTTTATATAGGTTATTTATGAAGCCTCATCTAGTTGTCATGTGTCAGTCCAATAAACATAAATATTTTGTTTAATATATGTTTGTTCTGCAGTCCAATTGGTTTCGTCCAATGCAAGTTCAGTACAAATCAAGTCCAAGCCGGACTCTTCTTTCCCAAGTTCAGTCATGATCGGTTTGGTAGGTAGTTGGATTTGGACTTTGGCATATATCTGTAGGACTTGAATATCTTTCTGTTGTGCTGACGAAATATCTTTCTGTTGTGCTGACGCCCAAATATCTTTCTGTTGTGCTGACGCCCTATAAATCATGACGGGTGTCAAATCTTAATTATGTATAATCGTGTGCCACGAACAAGAGCAAAAGGCCCAAGTTATAGTCGCATCAAGAAGGTTCATCTGCCTCAGATGAATTCGATGATTCAGACGAGTCATTGCAATCATCAGACCTTGACAAGGAGTACGAAGATTTTATGGCCGAGCAAGAAGCCTTTGATTCTGTCGATGCAAGTATCGTGGCAAAGTTGAAGGAGTAACATGGAGCAGAATCGTCTCGTCGTCGAAGCAAACCCAGGCTGTACATATTCAGGGATCATGAACATGCCCATGAGGAGCTTGTGTCCCAGTACTTCTCAGAGTTCCCTGTGTACACGGACTTGATGTTTCGCACAAGATTTCGAATGAGAAAGTCACTCTTTCTATAGATCGTGAATGCCCTAGGTGCATGTGTTAGATACTTTGACCATCTAGGTGTAGATTAGAGGGTGATATCTTTACTAATTGAATCAAATAGATCTAGAGCTTACTTCAGAAAAGGAGACAGAGAGAGATGTAGGAGCATCTGACCGTCGGAAGGGTTGGAGGAGCTCCCTGCCATCGCTGGTTCGTCGGTGAAGCTCTGCGCACGAGCAGCGATGGTTGGTGTAGCGGTGGTGGCAAAGACAGTGGCGCTTCCCACCGCTGGCAGTGCCTCCCTCTCGATCGGACTAGGGTTAGACGGTGGGGTTGTGGCGGCGGCAGTGAACCTCGTATCAAGAGCCGTTTGCCTCACCTCCTCTTTATAGGCACTGTGCGACGGGGGCCCACCAGCCATTAGATGGCTGAACGTCCCCGATCAGGACGCGATCAAGGGGTCCGTCTCGACCGTTGGGTCAAGACGGATGAGATCAATTCTAACATTCTCCTCATTGATCTCAACTCATACTTTAACTTTAAACTTTGACTTTAATCCCTTTCACTTTTATTTGTTCCATCACAGATTAGTGCATAGATCATACTTCATCGTCACGGTCAATCGCCGATAGATTTAACAGCTACAATACACGTCTCTATTCTAAAACACATTCTTTAACTTTGGGCCCTTTATTGTCCGAAAATCATAGGTTTTCCCATAAACCCAAGTCGACCGTGTGTTCTCTGAACACACTGGATGGTAAGCCTTTTGTACACGGATCCGTAAGCACTTGCTTGTTACTTATATGTTCAATACTTTTAGTATGATTCTGGACTTTCTTCTTCACAACGTATAACTTTAACGTCAATGTGTTTGGCAGCACACTTGACCCGTTGTTATAGGAGCGAACTACTTAAATGGTTATTGCTGTTGTATATCATTATCAATTCCGGGTGTAAGTTCTTTTAACCATTTCGCCTGTCCTTAAGCCTCATAACTAGCTATACTATAGGTATGCATCTTTAATGACATCACAAATGTTTCTCTGGAGCTTTTCCACAATAAAACTCCAACTGCGAGTGTTAGCTACTATGTGGGTTTCACTAAACATCTCGCCAAAATTTAACATTTGTACCCACAACTATTTGAGAGTACTTATTCTTTCTTACTCACCATAAGGCCTATAAATCTTTGCACAATTGCAAACCATTCTCAACTCCATTCCAGTGATCTATATCTGGACTGAACTTCTGCCAAAACATCCCGGATACATGAACTATGTCAGGGTAGCATTCATTAAGCTTCCAACAGCTGAAGCATATAGGACGTCCTTTTGATTGATCTCACATTGGTTCTTGGAACACTGGAAGTTCCCAAAACTATTACCCTTTACTATAAGAACAGACGCAGGTTTACTCACATATATACTTTATTTCTTTAGAATCTTCTCTAAGTATACACTTGAGATAGTTCTAATACCCCTTTTCCTTTTATCTCGGTAAGTTCCAATTTCTAGAACGATTGACGCTTTACCAAGATCATTCTCATTGAAACTTGAGGACAAGAACTGTTTCTTCTCCAATAGTAGATTAACACCACTACTAGCGAGTAAGGTGCTACCCACATGCAGGATTAGGAAAATAAATTTCCCATGTTTAAACTTTGCATAAATACAATTGTCCTCTACATTCTCTTTAAACTCAAACTTTCTTATTGTACTGTCAAACTTCAAATATCAATGTCTTAAAGCTTGCTTTAATCCATAAATGGATTTCTTCAGGCAACATCCTTTATGTTCTTTTCCTTCCACGACAAAACCTTTTGAGTTATGCCATGTAAACTTTTCCATACAAATCCCCATTTAGGAATATGTCTTTACATCCTTCTGATGTAACTGTAAATCGTAATGTGCCACTAACACCATTATGATTCTAAAAGAATCATTACATGCTCATTATAATCTATTCCTTCTCTTTGTGTAAATCATTTCGCCACAAATGGCGCTTTATAGCTTTCCATATTCCCTTTGGATATCTTTCTATATTCCCTTTGGAGTCACCTTTGTCTTGTAGACCCATTACAACCTACTATTTTGGCTCAATTAGGAATTTCTTCTAAGTCCCAAATATTGTTGGTATTTATCGATTTCATTTCATCTTCCTTTGCTTCTTGCCATTTAGACAAGTGAACGCCTCTCATGGCTTCTTCAAATGAGATGGAATCACTCTCTATTTGAATTTCTTTCTTAACATTGACTTCTTAGTCACCAGAAATATCTGATTTTCTTATTCTTTGAGACCTTCTGGGCCTCGTGGCACGTCTTTCATATGGGGCTATTATTGCTCTTCATTCCCAAAAGGCAATTGTTCTATAGCCTCCTGTATCACAAGATCCTTGTTTACTTATTCATCTTCTTTAAGAGCTAACATCAGGTGTTGTATATGTCATACAACATCAACATGTATTAAGCAATTTGTTGCTCTAAAAACACTGTAGTGGATATGTAATCCCACTTCTATTCAAGCCTTAGGTATCTACACACCATGCTCCCCCAGATTACTCCATCTTCTGTAAAGATGGTGTATCTTCAAATTTCTTATTTTGGGTTTAATCTGCTAAAAAACTCATATGGCGCGTTTAGCACCGCCTTTATAACTCTGAACTCGTCCAGTATGAATACTAGCCGACTATGCTATCTTCCTATCAAAACTGTAAAAGGTCCAAGAATTTAGCTATTTCTTTACTTTAGGGGTATCGTTATTATGACCGTCTTACTCCCTCAACGATCACATTCATCTTTTATAGATCACTTTTACCTTCAATACATAGTATGCATTGCATTATCTGAAGTATAGGGAAGTATCTTTCTTAATTGTCTTTCTTAATTAATCTCACATTTCTCCCCCTCGAAATGTGGTATGAACTTTTCTACCACAATTTCGAAAAACATTCAGAATTCTTGTGAATGAGGAAACTTTAATTACTTACTTCATCCACATGATTACATCATGCAAACAAAGTTATTTCTTAATTCGTATGGGAGTATATTCTCCTCATTTCACTTCAAAACTCAACATAGTCTATTATTATCAATACTTCTGCAAGTCACGCTTGCATATCATTCTTATCTTTTGGTTCACATGCAACTTTCTTTTGTTCTTAAACTCATTGAGTACTTAATGACCATGACACAATCAAAGTGTACGGTCAATACTAGGATAGCATAAGAGCTACCCAAAACTTCTCTCCATGTGCAGGATACACTTAGAGCACATGAGTCATCACATCCTTCTCCCGCCATGCGGGATAAGTACTATGCCAAAACTCTCCCGCCATGCAGGATTGGTTAACATATGTACTATGCCAACTTTACCCCGTCATCCGGGTATTTTCTCAAACTTTTCCTGCCACGGGTACTATCACAAACTTTTCCCGTCATGTGAGATAATTCTCTTAAACGGACATAAATGTCAGGATTGGCTCGTGTTCAATCATCAAATTCAGAAATAAATCCGAATACTCTTTAACACACATGCTTAATCCGACATTGATCAAATTAAACATGCATGTTACTTATTACATTTCTTAAACAAACTCTTATTGCTCTATCTCCTTTTCTTGGATCAATATCCTTTAATTCTTTTCTTTTCTAGCCATTCTTTAAAGAGAACACAGTCCCTTATACAATGGCCTTCTTTCTTCTGAGTCACAAGTACCTAGCTCATTTTTCTCACCGCCTTCAAGAATGAAAGCATGAAGATCTCTGTCTGAAAAAATATTCAACAATAACAAGCATGAAAATAACCCTACGTTGGTCTGGTTAAAAACATGCACATTAAACTTTAAAATATTTAAGTTCTATTCTATATCACCGTTGGGCACAAATAAAATAAAACCATTCATTCTTTTACATTAATTCCACATCACCGTTGGGCAGAAATAGAATTAACGTATGAAAAACTCAACTAACTTGAAAACTCCTCAAAATTAAATTCTCTCGTTGGTTCGAATTTAATTAGAAGATAATCATCATCATTGTAGCGAAAATATTAAAATACATTTTTCTAGTTTAGAATCATTCCTTGATCTTTATCTATTCTCTAAAAAATTGGTCACTTTGATGCAAAATTCATCAGAGATTTA